TCGTAGGGGAAACGTGAGTGGAAGTGGATCCGGACCTCGCCACGGTTGCCTACACTGTAAAGGAAGTCATTGGGTTTGAGATTGTCCAGTGGCGACACCTGAAGAACGCGAAGCACTGTTGAAGACGGAATGGGAGAAGAGAAGCTGGTAAGTAAAGCGATTGGCGCTGAATTATGATGTCATGGAAGAGGGTCCTTTGATGGATCTATTGTCAAAGAAGATGATGCGTCGGATGAGTATTCAGTGCTGATCAGTGGAGTCTCCATGTGTCTTAATGCTGGAGCGGATAATAGCATTGTACCAGTCAATTTCGTCAAAATAATTCAAGAGCGGTGCAAGGTCGTGAAGACCTTGCCAATTACGAACCCGCCGGTGGTCTAAGCAGCGGGACAGAAGCGATTGACGCGCACGTCGATGGTGTTCCTGGACCTACAGATCCGTACAGCGGCTGGGCCAGTCAATGTCCATAATGTCAAGTGCTATGTGTTGGAAGAAGGTGATGACCAGTTCATGCTGGGCAGAGATGTTCTGGAGGCATTGGGAATCAATGTCAAGTCAGCTTTAAAACATTTGGCCAACACAAGCATTGAATTGAATCGTGATGACCTGCCAAACGAACCAAAAGTTGGTGATCTAATTGATGAAAAAGTGAATGTGGAACTCAAGTGGATGTGTGACGAAATTACGGTTCAGACCAGTGACGAGACTCAACGCGATTTCAACGCGAAACTCCTCGATATCCACAATTCATGCAAGCGGCTATGGAGAACTAAAGTTGGTCCAGACGAACCAGCACTTGTGTAACCACAACGAGTGACGCTAGTGGAAGGCGCTCAGTCGATACGATGCAAACCACATCGCTATTTACCAGCTCAAATGGCGTTCCTCGAGGAGCATGTGGAATTGTTGCTGAAGTACGGGTTCGTGAAACGAAACAACCACAGTCATTGAGCATCAGACGCAGTTCTTGTCCAAAAGCATGACAACAAGGGTCAGTTTCGCATTACGAACAACTATAATGGAGTCAACAAGCTCACTGTTCCGATAGCGTGGACGATGCCGCATCTCTCTACTGTTCTTCAATTCGTAGCCGGTGCAAAGTATTTCGCCAAGTTTGATATGCTCAAGGCTTTCTGGCAGATGGAGTGGCCCCTGAGTGTCAAGAGTTCTTCATTTTTATGACTCACGATGGAGTCTATACGCCACTTAGAGTGCCACAGGGAGCAACT